CAGACTGACACATTGTTGGTTTTGCTCTTTTTGTTTTGTTCACAATAACACAAAAATAAAATATAAAAGTTTTATCGTTTAAAGTCTCTTCCTAAACTGGAACAAAATGAAGGCAATTTAAAAATCTATTACCTGTGTGTATAAAAAATATGTATGTGCATAAACACTACACTGAGACCAATTCATTGTTAAGCAGTATTCATTTTCCCTAAATGTGTTTCAGCTGCAGGACCATCAGCTGGAGCAGCTGGTGTAAACACCATGGAAGACAGTAGGTGCAATGCTAGTATGACATCCTCTCTGTAAATGTCCTCATGTTTGTGTGTTATTTTATCCCCATTAGCTAATATAACAACACTTAAGTACTAAGATGTCTTTTCTAATTTATTTTCCCTTCAGAGAAACAGCAGCCTTCACTGACCCAGAGAGTGAGTATGTCACATCACACTGACTTTACACAGTGCAGCTTTTATTCAGTAGATGAATAACTGATGATACAATATTTTTAATTTTTAAGTTTTAGACAAAGAGAATAAATCTATTAAAGAAATATTAAGAAATTAATTAATTAGCTTCTTTTTTAAATTAGACCAAAGATAGAACCAGTTAAACAGATAAACAGTTGTAAAGCCATGAACACAAAAATTAAATTGGACAAATATTATTAATTGTATCATTTCATGTGATAATGCATAACTCTTACAACATCCATATTTATAAAACACACACTGATGATAACATAAAAATCTTTAATCGTCCTTGCTTACAAATTTTACTTGAAACATTAACTTTTTCTCTGAATTTTCCAGGTGGAAACGATGGCGTCTGGGATAGAGCTGCTTTTGGAAACACTGAAAGATTTGAGTTATGAGGAGTTTGAGGAGTTCAAGAGCAAGTTGCATCCATTTCAAATCCAATTTATGTTTGAGAGAACAGACTCCCAATTAACAATGCAGGAAATAACAGACCTGCAGGACACAGTGTTTTCAATGGTGCAGACTTTTGGCCAGATGTCTGTGGAGAATACCAAGAAAGTTTTAAAGAAGATGAAGAGGACTGACCTGGTGCAGAGGTTGTCTAACAGCAGCTCAGGAGCCAAAAATAAGACAAAAAAAAAAAGTAAAAAAAAAAGTTTATATCTTCTTTTCTTTACATGATAAAT